TCTTTTCTTTCTGTGAAAAAATGGAGCCCTGATGTTCTGGGGAGCTATCGATATCGACGCTGAGGATATCACATTAGCTCCCCTAAACATCGGGGTTCCACTTTGTCACTGTTTCTCCCACAGATCATGGTAGTGTTTCCTACTTGAACACGTACTTTCGTTCATCCCATGTTCGAAACGCGGTCCTGCGTCCTATGCATTGTAGGCGCTTAAATACCATGGAGCCGTGGCCTGCTAAAACGGTCCCCCTAGGAGTCTAGAAACAAAAGTGCACTACAAGAGCTGCTGGTGTAAAGTGAAAAATAGATTTTTCTTTCTTTACACTGTGCATTTTCGCCGTTTCAATCCGGTATTAATATTTTTGATGTGATTCTTTTTTACCGAGTCAGTCATGTTTCACCCTCTTTTGCCAAAGGCGAATCAGTGTCTGATTTCACGGTTGAAAAATAGTGTAGAATCACTTAGATAATAAACCACTGTTATTAATTTTCTAATAAAAATAATCAATTTACATTCGAATCTGTAACTAATAAAGCTCAGGAGTTCTAAAACTTGTTGTTGTACTGTATTAACTGGCTTGACTTGAGTTTTCATGTCAAATTTCACTCGTTTAATTTTACCGTATTCTGTGGAGGTGATCACATCTCTTTTAATCTAAAAATGCGTAGTTTAGTCTCCTATCATTCCACAAGCGGTGTTGGTAGGGGTGGTAGAAGCGAACGGTGGTCAGGAGCACATCTTGAACAGAAATCAGGTTAGAAGGCGAGACGTTTTGAAGGTGTTGCCTACGATAGACAGCGTCATTACGTATCAGGATGATACCCTGACAAGTATTAATAAATGATTATTCGTTCGGTGTTTATTTCAGTATTTGCAGATCACATCCCAGGCCTGCCTTGTCGATACACTTCTTCTGAAGGCACTTTACCGTCTCGTTGTATACCTACCCCGTTAACCGGCACCGGTAAGATGTTTTTCACTGCATATTATAAATAAATGGAGAAAAGGTTCATTGTTACTGTGTGTGAAAACAAGTATCAATGGAATCGAAATGATTCGACATGCGTCATCTGTTTAGGAAAGCCATTACCGATTAGATGATATTTCTGAATCCATGAGACAGCGTATTTTAGATTAAGATATTATTCGGCCCATTTGTTATGCAGGTTGCCCAGTAAATTGCCCATCCATTGTACGTCATGTGAAATTTGACGTTGTGTTGTTGAAAAATGTTCCAGCCGAATTCTTACTTTTTCTATTTACATGTTATGTTTTTAATAGTATGCAGTTGAGCTTGTTTCTA